TCCCGCTTTGGAAATTTAAAGTAAAACTAATTTGCAACAGAATGGTGTATAAATGATAAGGTAGTCAGTGGAAATTTTTGTACCCTAAGCTTTCAAAAATCATAAAATTCTGCACTCGTGGTTGCAATACACCATGCATGAAAAACAATCAGCTCTGCATAACAAGCATCTTAGTGACTCATGGACTCAGAAAAAGACACTGAATGTCGGGATAATGCTACTAAACATTTTACAAGCACAGGAAATATTTTAAAGCAAGATTTATCATTGCCATTTGCTTCAAATGCCATGCTTGCCGTCTAAAACTAAGAAATATGTGAAAATAGCATCTCCAGTTCCATTCACAAGACTTCTAGAAAGCCTTCAGTGCCAAATAAAGTCCAGTCGCCATACTAGATAGGAGTTATTGCTCTTCGAATAGAGATGACAAGATTCCTCCATTCTCCATCACTATACTCGTTGCTATGGTAATTTCAATGAATATCATTAAATTAAAATGACCGGAAGTTCCATTGCAATTTCTGGACATATGAGTATAATATGGTACATGTACATTGTTTGCTTGCTTAGGCTTACCCACTTATAGTGCCTTACTTTGTTACACTGTATAACTTTTAAATTATGAAATAAACTTGTGAACTGACGGTTTGCTTTGTACATGTACATGTACATGTAACATGTAGCATGACAGAGAACTGTGTACTTATCTTATTATTACAAATGTACTTGTAGATTGGAGATACAGCGCTTATTGCAGCAGCAGAGGAAGGACATTATGACATTGTACAGTTGCTATTGAATAATGGAGCTGATCGAAGCACTGCAAATTATGTAAGCTTGACTATACTTGTATCTAATTTACAATCCTGAAAGCTTCAGTAAATCACTATTATTTCTTTAAGATCCCAATGTTAAAAAAACTGAAAGTATTGTTCTAGGCTTACATGTGCATGTACTTGTAGGTTGTGTGTACTGATTTTAATATTAGTACCTATTATTTTAGGCTTTAAAGACATATACATGTAGTTGCTGTTCTATTTAATAAAGTTTTTATTGTTGTATTTCTATAGTCAGGAGAAACTGCTCTAGTTGCAGCAGCAAGAGGAAGATATGATAAGATTGTAAAGTTATTAAGTGAAGAAACTGATCCAGATGTTACAATTCATGTGAGTATAGTTACACAATGGAATGGCAGATTGATAGAAATAAAGAAATCTACATGGCTGTACATGCACACATATTTTTTATATCACAGCAGATATTTTTGTTTGATTGATTTAATAAGTATAAGAGACATGGTACCTTTAGGTACTTTTGATGAAAGTAATTACTGCCATTGTAGATGTACACATACATTGTATAATGAAAAGTTAGTATGGTCATGATCATACATGTTTTTACACATACATGTACATGTAGTAGTGTTTATTATGGTGTATTGTAGAATGATAAATTATATGAAGCTGCTAAAAGAGGTGATTCTACTGGTGTCCAGTCTGCACTGTCTCAAGGAGCTAATGTAAACTATCAGAATCTCAATGAGGTAACAATACTGTAGTTATACTGTAGCTATAGCCTGTCACTTTAACTGATTAACCAACTGGCTTAGCGTAATATTTTCAAGCTATCAATATATCCAGCTGTCACTAAAATTAATCATTATTTGCACTGTGAGGCTAAATTTATCATAATTATTTCAAATAGAAATGATAATATTTTATTAAATTGGCCTTTTTGACCTTTGTATGCTACAAATGTTTTATTGTCTCATTCAACAATCAGTTATTGGTGTCCAGTTAACCGATTATGCTATAGGATCCATATTTTTTTCAGCTTTAACTGCAGTACTGTATAAATGAGCTCTTTAGGTGCCTCGCTGTCCAGTTTTATGGTACATAGTATATCAGGAATGGTTTTTTCCAGTGCTTGACTGATGCTTAAAAGCTTTTGTATACAGTAAAGGTGCTTCTGCTTATGCATTTTCATTTTGAAGTACTTCAAGCACATTTTAAAAGCACTTTTAAAGCATATTTGATTGGTGTGTGATTGTTTGTAAATATGTAGCAAGCTACATAACAGTCAACTTACTAGTCGAATGCAATAAATCAGTGAGGAGCCTCTGCTGCTATAAATATAAACAACTTCTTTCCTTCTTGTTTTGGAAATTTTCGTCTACCTCAATTCCTTCTGTGTAGCTTTTTGTCAACCAAGGGGTGTGATACTTGTGTGGTGAAGATTTCCATGCCTACATGTAATGGTTTTCATACTTTACTTCCAAGGCAGTGTGAACTAACGAACAGGTTATGTATAACTGTTAAAAAATTCTAGATTATCATCTTCTCTCATTCCCTGAAATCTGAATCTATTTAATTTCATAAAACTTTTATGTTCATTAAATGCAATAAGCATTATTGTCAAACAATAAACATTCCTTAAACATTATTGAACAATGTGTATGTACATGTAGTAAAAAGTGCTGGTGCTTTTGTTTAAGGGCTTTCTGAACTGCTCATGCTTGTGCTTAAGTTAAGCTCACAGAAAAAATGTAATGCTTGTGCTTTTCTTATGTTTGCTGTAATTATAAATTGCTTATGCTCAGGCTTAAGCATTTATTACAAATGCTCGCCCCTTCCCTGTAGCACATGTGTATACAGTATGTACATGTACCTTAGAGTAACTTTTAAGTACGGATACAAAATATTGTGATATTAACTCTCAGTAGATTTTGTGGGTACTAATAAATGCAATTAGTAAACTGTTCTTAATAATTACATGTATGACATACCTAATTAATTATCATAGGTGTTGATGATTGCAATTTTTATTCTAATAGCATTAATAGTGCCTGTAATGAAATCAAAAGTCACTTATATGGATGAATATTAATATAAAATGTACATGTACTTTTTTATTTGTTTGTTATTCTGTTAGTGCCTAACACATGTAGCTTCTATTTTTTGTTATCATTCTGTTGATCAATTTTTAAGCCTTAAAAGCACAACTTGTTATGATATGCTGTCATCTGCTTATGGTTGTCTGTCAGTCTTTTAGTGTTATAGTTTAATATGCTGCATGCATGAAGTACATGTACAATTATGAATGTACATGTACATGATACTGCAATGTACTAAGATTTTCTTGTGTTTCTTATACTTGTATAGGATGGAGTTACTTCCCTTCATGTTGCTGCAAAAGAAGGATATGTTGAGGTTGTACAAAATTTAGTGTCTGCTGGAGCTAATGTGAACCTCATAGATACAGTGAGTATAACTAGGGTTAAACAAGAGCACTTGCAGACCCTGACATTCTGATCTGCAATGTACAGCACCGGACAGGTCTGGTGCTGTATTTAGTTTGTTTGATTAATCACTTTACTCATGTATATGTGACATTATGTGTACTTACCAAGTTTAGTTAATATGACTCTGTAAAGACAATTGTGCAAAATTAGTAGCATATACTGGCCAATTTCTAGGTTTATTTTGATAGAAATAGCATGTAAATAGCCATAACAGCGATGCATAACAGCAACAATCAATTGTTCAACCACTCACAACAATTAAAAAAATTGGTCATTCAATTTTAAGCTACATGTGCTGGTTAAAATACCACACAGCAGAAAAATTGGTAGAGTGCTGTGTCACTACAGTATGTAACCTTTATATATCATTTTGTATTTGTAGCTGCTATTAGTGCTATAATACATGTACATGTGCCAATATACATATAAACAGTGTAACAGTGTAAAAATATTCCTATAATTGATTTCACTACCTTGCAAGTACAACTTGGTCATTATTAAGACTTACAAATACTGTCTAAAGACTTTTCTAGAAGCATTAGAAGGTAGAGAGAACCTTTATAAGTTCTCTTGCTGTTAGAAAGCACAAAAGTTTGTCCCATGTGTAAGCCGCCATTTTGTTTGCCGTGGCTATGCCCACTCATGTAAAGGAGCGTGGGTAGGTGGTTGCTAAGGCTTGTTATTTTCTCCAATACAACATGTATAGAGGAAATGTAAGTGTGGACATACTAATATATAATATACAAACATCGCAAGTGGGTAAAATCAATTATAGGAACGACCTGGGGGCTACATCCCCAGGTCGTTAAAAAATCTGAATGCCAAAAAATTTGATGCATGCCAGGCTTGGCTGACTGAACAGTAAAGTAGATTACCATAATTTTTTTAGGATGGATATACTGCTCTTATTAAATCAGCAGAAGAAGGACACTATGAAATTGCAGAATTACTGCTTAAGAGTGGAGCTGACCCAAATACGGCAAGTTATTTTGATTAATGTTGATTACTTTGCAGCACCCATATCATATAGCAATGAATACTTTATTACCATGAACTCATCATTGTTATAAATTTACATTATTCCAGTAAATGTAGATTAAAATATACTGATGCTCTTTATGCAGTTTTAAAGTGACCAAGTTTAGGACATTATAAGCATTTCCATTTTAACTTTTAAAGGAAAGTAAATACTGGTCAGGCACCTACTGCTGCTTATTTTTGATTAATATTTAAATTATAAACTACAAGTATTGGCAAGAGTTCATACTGGTGAACAGACATTTTCATTGTATTCATGCTTGTTATTATAGGATGGAGATACTGCTCTTATTGAATCAGCAAGAGAAGGACACTATGAGATTGTACAATTGCTATTAAGTAATGGAGCTGATCGCAATGCTTCAAATTTTGTAAGTATTATTACAATATATCTGATGGTTTAAATGTATAAGGCTGCTTTTTTTTAATTTTTCAAGCTTCAGACCTCCCCTTAGTTAGAAAAGTTCAAAATTATATAATTTATATTGAACCTGTAATAAGCATTTTCAGCTTTACTATTTTTGTATGTACAAGGATTCCGTTTGATATTTAATTTTTGAGGGCCAACTATTTTGGGTTTTGATTCAAACTTCAATGTCCATGGGTACAAATATTGGTGGCTAACAGCTATTAATAACTTGGCTTTTGCATGGCTTAATTGACAAAGATTCTATCCTTTTTTACTAGCCTGAAGTACTGTATAATTAAAAAATTTGGCAGCACTTAATATTGGCAATTTTATGATTGCATTATATTGGCAGTTTTTTCCTTAAAGACCTTTTAAAAAATAGCTCAGCCTGTTTACCATATTGCAGTATGATGCATATCTTATATTGGCAGTATTTTATGTTTCACAATATTAGATTTGCCATGTTTGTGTATTGCTTCTGCATTTACATACTTGATACCATGGGTTGGGATATATTCGCGGCTGCAATTATTTGCGGTCATAAAAAAGTTTAATTAAAAACCATGGTAACTGTTAGAGCGTTGGTATGACAATAAGACCACGTGTTTAATGTTCAGCTATTCATCTGTTCTTTAGCAGCTTTACTGGAGCCATTCACCAACAGCGAGTCCTTCTCTATCTGTTAACTTCTTGTATGGACCTCTACCTCAGAGTTCTTTCAGCCTCTTTGCTGCAAATAGAGGATATGCGTGCTAAGTATATTCATTGCAAAATAAATATATTCATTGCATACCGTAATAACTTTCAAGAAAAAAAATTAGTTCGTTGGACGTCAACTTTCCATTGGTAGCAATGGAGAAAAGATAGAAAAAGGCTTGGTACCAGAAAACCGCTCTGTATTTCTTGATAGCAATCTTTCAGGTGACTACTAGACCCCATTAGATCCTCAGGATGCTTTCTAAGCTTCCGAAAAAGGCCTCAAGAAGGTAGCAAGGCAAGAAAATGTGTTTTTCCCCATTGAACTCTTAATAAACTTGACGTCCAACATGGCGGCCAATTTACTGTGTGGGTTGGATATACGGTACTTAAAAGCTATGAATATACTTAGCACGCATATCCTCTATTGTTGCTGGTCCGCTTGGTGGTGATAATAAACCACACCCAAGTCAATAAACACTAACTAGAATGGGTGGAGAGTCCCAAGATGCGGCGAGACAGTAGTTCTGTAAAGAACCGGTAAAAGCAGCTCCAAAGAGACCAAGGCTTAGTAACACAAGAAGAACAACAGCTCAAGAACACTGCAGCAAGGTGCTTTCCTTCAATATCATGCCGTTTTCAATTAAAATATTACCTCGGTTTCCATGGTTTTTAATTGAAATTTTTTATCACCGCAAATAATTGCAGCCATGAATACATCCCAACCTATGGTATACAATTTGTAAACTGTGAACGTGCAGTCACAAAAATAAAACTGCCAATTGGCCTACAAGGAGTAAGCCACAAAATTTCATAGAACACTGCCTTTAATTATTTAATTATTAAATTTTTACATGTTTTTAATCTTACAGTTTACACATGTGTTGCTATAAATCTAATAAATAATTAATTGGTTTTTAATTTTTATGTTGTTAATGTAAAGTCACCTTAAAATATTTCACTTTTATGGTAATAGACCTACAAAAAAGAATTAAACCCTGCTATACAGGAATATTTTATGGAGCGGAGATGAAAGCTTTTTAAACAGAATGTAACATGAATGTACATGTAGTGTTGTAAAAGCTTTGGTTCAGTGATAAGATTCTATTTATTATGTAATTGTTATTGTATTTTATAGTCAGGAGAAACTGCTGTAGTTGCAGCAGCAACAGAAGGACATAATAATATTGTACAGTTGTTAAGTGAAGAAGTTGATCCAATTCCTGTGAGTAATTAACACAATATTATTGTTTGCATTTTTCTGAATAATTTAAATTTTAATATACATTGCATGTAATTTTGCATCTTTGCAATTAATTTGCTAGAAGGCATGAGTCCATAATAATATTATAAACCCAGGGTGATTTTTGATGCATGGGCAGTTGGGCACCGTAGTTTAAATACTTTCCAAGCTAGTGTGGCTGATTTACAAAAACTAGTAATAAGTAAATGCATGGAGTGGCACATATATTTTTTAAATTTTTGTTTGAAATTTTAAATAAATTTTTTCTGAGCAAAATTTTCAGTCGCTACTTTTAATGATAGGATAATTAAAATCAGTAAATTTTTGCTTGTTAAAATAACAAAACTATACCCACTAACATTTTCACTACATGTATGGGGTAATTGATCAACAGTGCACACATGTACATGCACTATTGTACATATTTATAGAACCCTTTGTTGGTTCCCAATACCTTTTTGGTGTATAACCTATATATACATGTACAGTACATGTATATTTAAATCAACCTTTAGTGGTAACTGGCAAGAATTCACAGCAACACAATTAATGTCATTGACATTTGACAGTGAATCAGTAAAATAGTGAACCTATTACTGACGATGTTGAAAATTTGTAAAAAAGTAATGGAAACAAGGACAGGTAGAATTCTGAACGACCAACGAAAATACGAAATGAAAATCCTACTTGTGACGCAAATTTTACTCTAATTGTACTTTTGATGTTATTATTTAAGAAATTAAGGATCACCTTGCAATGTAGAGTAGAATTTGCGTCATGAGTAGGAATTTCACTTTGTATTTTCGTTGGTCATTCGGAATCCTACCTGTCCTTGTTTCCATTACTTTTTACGAATTTACCCTGGAATCCTACTTAACCTTGTTTTTTAATTTTTTTATGTTCTTGTTCGCTGATTTTTTACTTTCCTCTTAGACAAGGTTTAGAACCACTCTGGTGGTATCATTGGAGTCCTCTGGTCAAGATAAGGTCCTCTAAGAAGTCTGGTAAGCATAGGAGCTCGTTTTCCCGGTATAGCAAGGCTGCAAAAATCGTGGCAGCCATTTTGTTTGGGGGTGAATCCTACTTAGTAACGCTACCGCCTTACTAATATAGATGTATTCTTAATGTGTATATGTAATAGCACAAAATATTACTGCAATACAGCTATAGCAAAACTTTGTTTACTTTTTATAGAGCACAACTCAGAACCCTACATTTCTCGATATTTTTGCAACTGACTCAAGTAAAGAAAACACCTCTATGATCCTTATTTGTTATTTCTTTGCAATGAATTTTATAGATGACAGTGATAGGGCAAATACAACGTCTACAATCAGATTTCTTGAAGAAATTGGTATATAGCTTATAACTCTTTTATAATTTCATTTGCTATCATAGATCAAAAGTATCTTCAAGAAGCAATGGAAGATGGCCTTGTTGAGTCTTTTGTCACTAAAACTACAGTACAAGGAGAAGCTCGAGTAGGCAAGAGTTCGGTGAAATCGCTACTTGTTTCTGAGCTTTATACTGATAAAACCAGTACGAACTGTATTGAGCCACCATGTGTAGCTGTTATGTGCTATGGACAGACTGGAAAATACTGGGAACGAATCAATGAAGAGGAAATGGGAATAAAAGTAATTACTGCAGTTCAGTCAGATGCCGTGAAAAGGTTGCGTGTTAAAAAGAATCCTTCAAAACCTTTGAGACAAATTGACCAACATTTGGATGGTAAAGCTTCTAAACCCAAAAGTCAAAATGAAAGTGTCAAAAATTCTCAACCTATGGATGATGATCCTTTGAGTTCTGCAGTAACTTCTAATACTCCAGTTACAATAGAGTTCAGTAATGAGAAAGATGCTTTTGTTAGGGTACGCAAGTTCTATCAGAAGTGTAAGAAATATCAAAAAGAAGGAACAAGTTTTTGTGGCCGTCGTTGGCTATATTTTATTGATTCTGGGGGCCAGATTCAATTTCAAAAGTTGCTGCCAGCATTCATGCCGTATGCTTCAGTCCTACTTCTAGTAGTTAGTTTATCTAAGGATCTCAATGAGCCATCTTCTACAGCAATGCAGCTTTCTGAGAGAAAAATTAATGTCAGTGAGCGTTCACTCTCAGTTATTGAAATTTTGAAGCAGCTTCTCTCTGCAATAGCTTCAAGTACACAGCGATACCGCTCGTTGATTGCTGATGATCCCCTTCTTTCAGAATTGATTACACCTCCTTCAGATAAGTTAAAAGTGCTACCTGTTGCTACTCATCCTGATGAGTATGAAGAAGCACTAAAGAAAGGTAAAGAATCAAGTGATGATAAAAGAAAAAAAATTAATGAAATTGCTCACCGTCATGAGTCTTGCGAGATAGTGGGACATGAAGGTAGAATATATCTGTATAAGGTTGATGGTAGTAAAGCTCGTAATAAAGTCTTTGAAGATCTACAGCCAGATTCAGATCTGTACAAGATTGCTCAAGCATTAGAGAAAAATCATTATAAAATTAAAGTTCCGTTGAAGTGGTATTGTTTTGGCGTCCTTCTCCATGATGTTGCTAAGGAAGGTTGTGGTGTTCTGAGCTTATCTTATTGTCAAGAGCTTGGTCAACAATTGGAAGTAAATTTGTCAGCTGACAAATCATTAAGTGCTATTAAGTTTCTCAGTTTTCTCAATAAATTGCTCTTTTATCCTGATTCACCTGCTGGTGATCTTGTTTTTGTTAATATAGAGAGTCTCTTTAACATTCTTAAAGATTTACTAGTTTTTGTTTGTGACGCTCATTCTGATGCAAAATTTCTACTTTCTGATCAAAAAGCACTTGTGTGTAAAGGTCATCTCTCTATTGAAATCCTTAAAAAGGCATCAAAGAGTTGTAATAAGATATCCAAGGCCTTTTCTGATTTTGAGACAAAGTTACTTGGTCTTTTTGAGTATCTTCTGATTGCTACAAAGTTACCCGAGAAAGATACTTTCTTCATGCCAGCTCTTCTACCGATAAAAGATGTATCTGACATCAACCCCTACCCTAACACAATACCTCTTTTATTTTATTTTGAAAATGCTATTCCAATGGGTCTCTTTTGTGCAGTCATTGTTCATCTTCTCTCTGAGAAGGAAGCTTCGTGGAAAGTCATTGAAGAGTCAAACTTTTCAAACTATTTCACTTTACAATGTCCAGATCTTCTTGAAAGTATCATTATTCTTGTGGAACAAGTTGACTGTATTGCACTTTATTGTGAAGCAGAAGATGATTATATTCCAGCAAGGGAGGCTATGGAAGAAGCAGTTGATGCAGCAATGTTAGCACATAAACTTAGTGAGAAGCCAAAAAAAGCATTTTACTGTCCCTGTGGTAAAGGAAGGCATGTAGCTGTAGTATCGTGGCTCAAAAAACAACGGCGTCATGTTTTTCATTGCACTATTAACCATAAATCTCAAAAAATGCCTGACTGCTTGAATTGGCTAGATCAGACAAGTAAAAGTAAGGGTATAGAGTTGAGTGTTTAATGCATACTGTAATTTGTTTATGATATTATAGGAAAACGACGGCATGATGAGTTACAACATTTACCTGATGTTCTGGAGTCAAGTGAGTTCAGCATTATAGGCTTATGCACTTTGCTTAGAATACTATATGTGGTGCTATAGCTTTGAATCTATCCTGTTTGAATACACCAATAGAATTTTATTATGAAACTTAGTATACTGTATATACTTTTATTTTATAGATATTGCATATCAAGTTCTTGTGGAAAGCACAGAGGAGATTAAGGAATATTTTTCTGATGATTTTTCTGAAATTGCAAGCAAGCTGCTTCAGATGAATCTGATCACTGAAAGAGAGAGGAGTGCTATAACTGATACAAATACTGGGCGGAATAAGTATCAGCGAATGGAAGAATTAATAGAACATGTTAAAGTGGCAGTTAAAATTAAAGAGTCTGTTTTCTTCTTATTATTAGATATTTTTAATGAAAAAGAGTACTCAACCTGCTACCGATTTTGCTCAAAAACTCAATCGAAGATATAAAGATAAACTGTCGAAG